AATGGAGGAACTTCATTTGACCCTTTGAAGAAACGGCACAGTCAAGCCGAGTTTATTCCCCCAGTTCCATTTCTCGCCCGCGAAGCTCTCGCACAAGAGGCAGCCAACAGTAATTCTTATGCCAGGCACTCCTTGTACGATGAGACCGGGCCCAGCTCGCGCTCTTACTCCTCCAACTCTCGTTTGCCCTCCACCGGTACACCTGGCTCGAGTCTATCAGTCGCAAATGGAGCTTCTATGGAGGATGATACTCCAACTCAACAAATGACGCCCTTGCCTAGCCACCCCAACGGAGATGGAGACAATATCTGCAAATCTCCAACGTGGGACAAACCCAAGAAGAAAGAAAAGCGCGTCACACGGCGACTGGAAGCCGAGAGGAAAGAACTCGAGAAACGGTTGCTAGCACTTGAGGATGCGCAATCCAAGGCCAACCTCGGAATCTATGAACGATCTTCTCGCCGTCTGACCAAGAAACAACCAGTGGGCAGCTCAAGCAGAAGCTCCAGTGCGAATGCAGAGCGTCCGAGATCGTCAAGTGGCTTTTCCTCGATCTTCCGGCGCTCACGCCGGAATTCAAATTCGAGCGATGTAGACTTTCCGTCTGCCGAGTTTAGCCAGCTTAGGACAGATACGAACCCACCCTCTCTGCCTTTGACTTTACCGGAAAGGTTTGGTACAGCCATCACCCGAGAGCTACAATCCACGCATGGCACCGCACTGAATCTATCCGCTTCGAACAAAATGCCCAACGCGACCCAGCATAGCCGTTTACTGCACGCCTCCGCAAAGTCCGACGATCTTCGTGAGAACTGGAGGATGGCGGAAGCTTGGAAGACAAAGGACGGACAGTCTAATCGGTCAGTGTCGGAGCAGCCCAAAGGTAGTCGGTCCATTATTGGAAACGCTGCTCGGAACCGCGAGACACTAGCATCCTCGGACGATCTGGATAGGGAGCTGTTTTCCGCAGCTCTGAAGCATGATAGGAAGAGTGTGCCTGCCACAGAAAATCCTCTTGATCGTGTGACGCGCCATGACTGTTCCGTTGGAGCTACTAGCATGCCAATACCGCAAAGCTTGAGCCAGCCTAACTTCCATCCACCCGGTTATCCTGCTTCACCTACTCAAGTTACTACAGCTCGCCAGTTGCAGGAGCTGACGCCCCCAGAAACTCCAGAAGCTTCGGAAAATGCATCAAGTCCATCTAGTGCCAGGTCTTATCTACCACCCAACCCAGCACCAACAAACTCCACGGCGAACCTTGCCAGGAAGAATCGAGTGGAACCCTTCCCGCGAACATACAAGTCGTCTCCGCTCGCGCTGAATCCTGCAAATACGGATGAATCGACCCAGAATGATTCCAGGATTCCAAAATCACCGATAGCACAAAGCCTTGAGCATGCAAGCTCACCCCAGCTACCACACTCTCCCTTTCAACCTCTTCCCGAGGATCGAGGCAGCAGCCGATTGCCTATAGCTTCGTCGCATACCCCCAAGCGAACTGCAAGTCGTTTCAAGGAAAACTTCCAAGAATCTCCACAGTCGGCCGAACTCCCACAGATCCCAGTGAAGAGCGAAAGACGGAGTCAAGAGAATTGGAGAATGCCAACTGCATCAGCCGATACGCTCGGAGACATCCCGGCATCTCCCTTCCAGGTAGCCGTCAGACCTCCATTCCATACAGGAAGTGTTTCATCCGGCGAGAGAAACAGCCGAACATCCAAGGACCTGTCGGATGGCACTTACGCTGTTCCTGCGAGATCCCCCCGCCGAGGTTCTCGCACTTCTACCGAACTCCCGGGGAATATCCTTGCTATTGGAGGACCCGGAGGGTTTATACCAGGACATAGCCGTACTTCTTCACACGCCTCCTCCCACGATGGTCATTCAAATTATGACACTGCCGATGAAGATACCCCTGAGTCCCCTGGATTCAAACGCAACTCTCTGACTCGCGTGGATACCAATCCCTCGACCTCTGCTGTTGAGGGGTCGGTCGTAGAGGATGCTCCTGTTAGTCCACTCGCTCAACCCAGCATTCAGCCTAGCCTTCAACCTAGCTCCCAACCTAGCATTCTACTTAGCATTCAACCCAGCACTCAGCCTGTCTTGCAGCCTATCCTGCAGCCTGGCTCTCATCGCGATACTTATCGCGGCATACGGTACGGCCCCCAGTCTGGAACTCAGCCCGATATTCATCCCGGCATGCAACCCAGCACCCAACCGGGTACTCAATCCGACAGCCCGCAAACCCGACCAGGCCCCATGAGCATCCTCAAGAGAAGATCCCAAAAAGCGAAAGCAGCCCGGAACCCACAAACCATCGCCAAGGTCTTCGTAATCTGCTGCCGCTGCAAGTACTGGCACGACCTACCCTCCGAAGTCTACGCACGTCTCGCCTGCCCCGAGCGTCTAGGCCCAGATCTCAAGCTGGGCAGATCCTTCTCCAAGAAACCACCTGACAGTGGTACCCGCAAGCTGACAGGATCACGATCACTGCCATTCGGTCAATTCCCAGCCTCCCAGCCCGATCTACGACCCGCACCTCTTCTGCCTCGCAAGGTGACCTGCTGCTGGTGTGGACATAATATGAGCCGTACTTGTTGTGAGGGTTGGACTACTGTTGTTGAGATGCGTGAGCGTCACCATTGAAAAGATTTACCTATGATATGAACGATTGATATGAACGATTACTATGATGTTATGATTTTCTTCCTTTTGTCAGTTCCATGTTTCGCATTTGGGATTTCTGCATATGCAAATAGATCCACTTCTACATCATTGATGGTTACCTCGAGAATACGTTCATTTCAGCCTTATAGTAATGTCTCCATTTTCAGAGTAGGGTATGATCTCTGAGAGTTGGACCTTGAACTCTGCTTATAAATATACCGGTCTTTATATCTGTTGAATATGTTTTAGAACACTCCATTCCATTGGAATTATAGTATATTCAAAGTGGCAGAAACTGGGCGGTATAGTGATGAGTAATCGTCCTTCATTTTCCTTTTTTTTTCTTCTTCTTTTTCGCCAACTTCCTCTGGACATTCTTCTGAACACAATCAAACCATTACTCGGAATTTAATGCCATTCTGTTGTATGGTGTATATCGATACTTATTCACTAACCCAATCCCAGATATATATCAAACACCACACAGATTCATCCGCAACTCATCAATCCAGCTGTCCCAGTCCATATGGACATGCTCAAGGGCTCTCCTTCTGGAGAACAGTCACCACAGCGCTACGTCTTGTGGCCGTGACCGACTGGAGCTGGATTGCGAGCTGGGTACCTTCGGGTGCTCACGCTCATTTTTGAAATACAAAAGTTGCTAGAGCAAAAAAGGGCCTTCATAGTTCATGTTATACTTGCTCGAGTCTATTCCTTCGGGAATTTTACTTTGTCTACGAGAGCATGACTCCTTGCGCATCTACATTTATCAGTTTTAATATCGAATCGAATCTATTGCTTTCTCACGTATCTATCATTCTCTCGACACTACAGTTTGCTTTTCGCATCACCAACAATATTCACAACAACCTTCCCCCAAGTCTCCCTTCCACCCAACGCCTGCAAAGCCCTGGGCACACTCTCCAATCCAACAAAGCTCTCATCCTTGAACGATGTTCCCTTGAACTTCCCCTGCTTAACAAGGTCAAAGATCCCTTGCCAAACCTCACCAACAGTCTCCGTCTCAAACTTGGCATACTGCCCCCAATGCAAGCCAACAATACTTACATTCTTCAACAACACCCGATTAAGCGCCACCTTCTCAATCTTCCCCGCTGCAAACCCAATAACCAACAACCGCGCATTCCACGCCACACACTTCAAACTCGCCTCGATCATCCCAACAGGGTCATAAACAATATCCACTCCAGCAGCCCCGTTGCCCTGCCTGTTCTTCTTACAGATCCCCTTCACAACCTCCGGCCACGCCTTATCCGTATAATCCACCACATAATCCGCCCCGAAAACCTTAGCAATCTCCCTCTTCCTCTCGGTTCCCGCAGTAGCAATAACAGTTGCCCCCATAGCCTTAGCAATCTGCACAGCAGCAAGTCCGACGCCGCCCGCAGCAGCATGAACAAGAACCCAGTCCCCGGCCTTCACGCCAGCGCGCTGCACAAGACCGCCATACGAGGTCGGCGCCGTGACGAATAGCCCTGCCGCATCTTCGAAGCTCCACCCCTCCGGTACGGGGAGGAGGGTTTGCTCTGCGGCTAGGACGTGTGTTGCGTAAGCGCCTTGTGTGGCGCCGAAGACGCGGTCGCCGAGTTTGTAGCGGTTGTTTGGGGACGTCGGGACGGAGATGATTGTTCCCGCGAATTCGGCGCCGCCGATCCAGGGGAGCGGTGGTTGGTTTTGGTATTTGCCTTGAATTTGGAGGATGTCAAAGAAGTTTGTGCCGGCAGAGTGGATTTCGATTAGGTATTTGTCTGCAGTTGGGGTTGGCGTTGGGACTGTGGTTACTTTGAGGTCTAGAGGGCCCTGTAGGAGTTAGTCTTTGGGGTGGAGAGTTGGGGTTGGTTGTAGGTACTTTGACGTATTCGCTGACTTGGACGGCACGCATTTTGGCGGTGGGAATGTAGATTGGAATTGAGGTGACAGAGTCTGAACTTTTGAGTGAAGAGCGAAGATGAAGAGAAAAAAAAAATGGTCAGGGCATGTCCAAATAAAAAGAGCTCTGGAAGGACTGCGGAGCTTCCCCGCAAGATGCCGAGGTTCCTTTTCGGGTAACTGACGCGTCTTGGCAATTTATAGAACACTTTATACATTTGATATATATATAATATACATAGTAATAGATAGATCAAGCTCAATTAATCAATAGGTATCAATATAGTTTCCTTTTCCAAACTCCCCGAAACCGAAACATATCACTGGGTATGGCAAATAAAACAAAACAATCCACCCATATTTCACACAAAAAGGTATCAAGTGTCAAGGTATCACAGATCTTCAACTGGAATAAAAGCGTCAGTGCAAGTTAGCACCTAGTATCCAATGCCCGGAGGCTTCTGCGCATAATGGTCATGGCCCATATAAGGCATGATCGGAGCACACATCACGGAATGAGGCCCACCAGACTGAGTATGAGACGGTGCCGCCATAGTATGCGTCTGATCATGAGGCTGTGTATGGGGGATCATATGCTTCCTATCGTGCTCGGGCCGAGCAGCCAGGTGACCGGCCATATCATACTGTAACGACATAGCCCGCTTCCAGTTCTTGGCATCATAGCCATGCGGGTACTCTGGTGCCTCGCTGTGGTAGTGATGGTAGTGATGGTAGAGCTGGGCTTGGGGGAGGTAGCCGTTGACTGAAGGCGCCATGGGAGCAGCTGTGGACTGAGGGACGGAGGCGGGAGGGGTAATGGCTTCAAAGGGCAGCGAGTACCACTGAGATGGGTTGAGGCCGTAGTCTACTGAGACGGCGCGGGGTGGCCAGCCAATGCCGCCGGGGGTCGTTGCTGTGCCTGGGCTTGGGAGGCACGACTCTGGTGAGAGTGGGTAGGCTGGGTAGGATGGGGTCAGGGCTGAGGTGGTGTTCAGCATGAGACCCTCGCCGACTGGGGAAGTATGGGGGTGGTCGAAGGTTGTTGTTATTGGGCTGAGATTTGGGTAGGAGACGGCTGTTGCGCGGCCTGGGACGAGGATATGCTCGCCGGCGGGGCTTGGGGTGAGTTGTTGGATCATAGGAGAGCTCCATTTCCGGTCCTGGTCTGGGACAGGTTGTTGGAGGGTGGACGGTTGCCCATAGATGGGTTGTGTCATGGGCCATTCATGGCCTGTTGGTGCCTCTACCGGTAATGATGGCAGTGGTCTTTGGATGATCGATGCTTTGCGCTTCGCATCCTTGTCCAAGTCTGGCTCTTCTCCAGAGGCTTCAGCCAGACTCTTCTTCCGAGTCTGACGGGATGGCTTGGTTACTCGCCATTTCTTCAGTCTGCTTCGTAGTTGAGTTTCACTGGAGGTGTTAATTGATAGTCCATCAGAGTCCGGTGTCAGAATGGAATAGACATGTACTCACCTAGGATTGAAATCATCGGTACGTATCTGCTTAATGACTTGCTTCAAAGGCCATTCTTCTTCCATATATAACTTGGAGATCAACGCCTTCTTCTTCTCCCATACATCAGACGAGATGGAAGTCTTCATTATCAACGCACAGTCCAATTGGGAAGTGGAAAGGGGAAGATCAAGGATGATCAATAAAAAAAAGAGACAGGAAACGGGCGAGACAGTTATATGTAGAAGATAAATAGTAGGGAAATAGAAAAATATAATATATAATCAAAGTAATAATAAGAGTGGTTTGTTAGGGCCAACCTCTCCCACTTCTCTCTCTCCAGATCTCCATTGTCTTGGAACACAATCTCTCAAGGATTGGGCCTTAGCGTCCGTGGCGTTCAGCACGGCGATCATGAACGAGATTCACAGGGAAAACATCATTGGCGACGATCATCCAAGCGATGTCATTACTCCAAGTGGATCACATCATCCAAGCGGAACAGCTCTCTACTAGGTCTTACTATCCCCAGTTGAGTGCTTGGCGCGTTTGAACAAAGCGGATATTCGAAATTCGATTGATCATCTACGGGCTTTGAACTGTTTTTTTTTTTTTTTCCCCTAACATTTGACCTATCGAGATATTGTCAAATGTCCTCAAGTTCGAGAATGGAAGGGGGAAAAAAAAACCCAAATGGAGAGACATAAAGTTCCCCAGTGATTTACTGTGCATTTAGTGCCCCAGTTTTTATCCCAATATGGTCATATACTCCAAACCAGATAAGCCCGGCGTGAACCTCATGGTCGCCGATCCTTCAGGGATCCTTCAGGGGACGGGTTTGATGGGTTTGACGGTTTTGACGGGTTTGACGCTACCGTTGGTTCAACACCGGACGTCTATCTAAAAGCAGATGAACTTTTGGAGAATGGAAATCCAATTAGATGTCTTTCACTCGGACAGAGACCGAAGTTCCTGGGGGAAAAAAAAAAGCGGTCTCCCCCAGACCCCAAGGCAAATGCTTTTTTCTTTTTTTTTTTCTTTTTTTTTTTTTTTTACGGTGAATCCCGCTAGGCACATGGTGTCAGAACTAGTGTAAAGCCCCCGTCTCGATCTACACCAATGGGTATGAAGTTCGTGGAGTATCAGTTCGTGCGAGCGCCAAATCGATCTAGTAAATTGATCGACGACGATCTGCCCGGGTCCTCAATAGTGGATTTTATCAGGCGACTTCCCCCCTTAAACGGGGATTTTCTACCATTTCTGCCTGAGAGGAATATGAGAGACAGTTTAACTTGAAATGCACGGGCCCGACACTGCATGCCCACGAGCTGCCAATCACTTTTCTTTGGCCTGCATATGTCACAATCTCTCGAACGGCAGTCCGGCTTCGGCTCTTGTAGATATCTTTTAACCCATTTCTATATATCTCACAAATGAAAATCTGGAATGACGATTCATGTTCCTGGATATGAGAACCCCTTTCTCTCTTTGTGTTCGACACTCGGCCTAAAACAGGCAATGGAGCCAGATCCAACACAAGGGCATCGGCATATTTTCACCTCCAGTCTAAGTTGATCATTTCTTTCACATATATCTACAAAGAAAAGCTGTCATTTCATTCTATTTCTTTTTTCTTTTTTTCATTCTTTTTCTTTTATCTTTTCCCCGGTCCAATAAGGAAATGCCATATATCTCTACTCTGTATAGCTTTCGAAACACGATCCCTGTATTCAGGGATATCAAGTGGTAAGACATCCCCGGATCATCGTGGATCTCCTGCACTTTGAAAGCTTAATAGAATATCTCTCTCTCTCTCTCTCTCTCTCTCTCCAAAGCCTCCCATTTTCCCCCCGATTTCGGAGAGAAGATCAGTGGATCCCCGACTCCAATCAGACGGGGAATACTCGGCCTATACCTTTTCATATGCGAATTGTAGAGGCTCTGGATTCCCCCTTCAATTCGGAGATGACTTGCCGAGGTAAGTCGAAATTGGCTTTGAGATTGGAGAATTTGAAGACAAAATAGGGGGAAAAGCCTCCCGAGATCTTATCTTATTCTCAGCTCAATGCATATATATTGTTTAATATACATTCTTATATATGGAGTTGTCAAAGGTACAACGCTATTGACTATATACCTCCCCCCGTTTGATACGCAATCTATTCCCTTTACAATTCTTCACACTATTGATATTAATATAAAGACCAAACTAAATTCCAATAGCAGAGATCCAAGAGTCTATAGTTGGAGTAGAATGATATGGATTCCGATCCACTTGAGGGGATAATCTCCGGGAAATAGACTATTGATTTGAAAATATTTGGTTAAGATTTATTTTCTATTGGTCTTTTTTTTTTTTTTGTTAATATAGGATTAACAGAGGGGAAAAGAGAAAATAAAAGTACAGCTAATCAGAGAAAAATAAAACATTATAACATCTTCAACGGATTATACATAGAGACAAAAGCTGAGAGAACGGGAAAATATTTAGGGAGTGGAGTATCTTAACGACGCCTCTTGAGATGGTGCTCCTTGCCCTTTTTGGACTTCTTCTTGCTTTTATCTGCAGGCAGAACCAGGGGTTCATCCCTCATGTTCCACTCCATGAAGCGCAAGAGATAATCATCAATGTGACCGGGCTCCAATTCTGCGTCACCAGACACCGGAACCGTGACAACCTCTTCCAGGGGGTCCCAGCCTGGGCCGGTGTTCCGTGGGAAGCGCTGTGCTCCTCAAAGTCGCCATCGTCGGCGTGTTCCTGTTCTTTCTGGGCATTCTTCGCCGCATCAAGATCCTCCTTGTCCTCGGCCGCTTCGAAGACGCGGGTTCCGCCCACGCGGTTGCCGAGGACTCGGTCCATGGCAGCACTTGCTTCGTCTTGGCCATCGCGCTCGTCGGGTTCGGCTATTCCTTGCACGTTCAGCTTGGTGAAGTAGTCTGTGGTGAACTCGCCTTCTTGGATGATGACGTCGTCGAGCATGCGCTTCTGGTTGGCTTTGCGGAGGATGTTGGATTCAATGGTATACTCGGATACGAAACGGTAGATGTGGACATCGCGTGTTTGACCGATGCGGTGGCAGCGATCCTGGCATTGCTTGTCCATGGCTGGGTTCCAGTCTAGATCGTAGAAGATGACCGTGTCGGCGCCCGTGAGATTGATACCCAGACCACCGGATCGACTCGATAGGATGAAAGCGAGGATGCGGGGATCACTATTGAATCGTTCCGTAAGCATCTGTCGGGACTCGACTTTCGTAGTTCCGTCGAGTCGGAGATAGCGGTGGCCATGGATATTGAGGAACTGTTCGAGGATATCGAGCATCTTGGTCATCTGAGTGAAGATCAAGGCTCGATGCCCGCCGGCTTTGAGGTCACGTAGGAGTTTGTCAAGGCGCTGCAGTTTGCCGCAGTCGTATTGGAGCAATCTCTTATCGGGGAATGCAATAGAGAGGCGCATCCGGGCTTCGTGGAAAGGATCGTATGGCGGGTTTGGCCGATTATTGGTCAAAAGCCGGGTCTCGACGGGAGTTAGGGCGGCTTCGTTCATGCCCGCGGCAACAGCAGCGGGGGTAACGCAGGCGAATCTCTGGACATAGCCATGCATCTCAAGAGCCCGCTCCTCAACGGTCAGAATCATCGACGCGAGGACGGAAGACCGGCTTGACAACCAGTCGGCCATTGAGCGCTTCCGCAGCGGGGCATTGGATAGCGCATGTTCCTTGGTCCCAGCCCGGAGGAATTCAATAAGGCTGCTACCGTATATGGGCCGACGGCCGTGCCGCTTGGATTCAAAGTAGAGACACCGCTCTAATTCCGCCATTCGCCTCTTCCGACAGGCGTTCTCCAATGACTCTAAGATGGTTTGCATGTTGGACCCGTCAAAGCCCATCTCCCAGTTGGTTCGGTTGTACTGGCGTTCTCGGAGAGTCTTGAACGGGCCAATAGCCATCAGCCTGATACTGTCGTCGGCCAGCCGTCGTGAGATATCTTCCCGTGATACGGGTGCGAGGTTGAGGAAATCCAAGTCGATCTTGGTGAGTGGGTGTTCAAAGAGGAGTCGTCGTCGAACGAGGGATTCCTTGATATTGAAGTCCATAGCCACAGACCGCGGCATCGCAAAGGAGGTGGAGATGGGTCGGGTTTCAAAGAGATCAGGGTGGTTGCACACTTTACGGAGTTGCATCAGACAGTGGATGATGGAGAGGAAGTTTCCGGACGCGAGCGTCTCCTTGGTCTGGGCCATCGACATGAAGCCGTCGTAAAGGAATCGCTGACGCTTTGACAGCCTACAATAGACCACATGTTCGTACTTGCCAGGCATTTGCTTCTCGACATCGGCCTTCAGTCGACGAAGAAGATATGGGCGGAGAACGGTGTGAAGTTTGGTGATCACGCCCTTGGCCTCCTCGTCCATAGTCTCCCTGCCGTGCTCCAGAATTTGTTCAACGGGGCGCCGGAACCATTCAGAGAAATCCTTTAAATCAGCAAACCCTTCAACGCCACCATTGGTACCATCCGAAGGCATCAAGAAGAACAGAAGAGACCACAGTTCTGTGAGATTGTTCTGGAGTGGTGTACCCGTTAGGAGAAGCCTAGCACGGGACTTGAACGTAAGAAGGGCTTGCCACCTCTGTGAGCGGAAGTTCTTGATGTTGTGTGCTTCGTCAAGAATCATGTAGTGCCAGTCCTTTCGCTTGAGAGACATTTGGTCCTGCAGAACGAGTTGGTACGATGTAATCAACACGTTCCAGGCGTTGTCATCTGTCCAGCCTCGGCGTTTCTGTTTTCGTTCTTCTTGGTTCCCGTAGTAAGTCATGATCTTAAACCCCGGGCACCATTTCTTGAACTCCATTTCCCAGTTGAGCATAACACTGGTGGGAACAACTACCAAATGCGGGCCCCAGATACCATGGTCCACGGCAAGGTGGGCAAGAAGGGCAATGGTTTGAATCGTTTTGCCCAGGCCCATCTCGTCTGCCAGAATACCGTTGATGTGGTTGTTGTAGAGACCCGCAAGCCAATCCAATCCGTAGTGCTGATATTCACGTAGTGTACCGCGCAGGATCGATGGAATGGGTGTCTGTAGGCCTGGGGCAGGCAAGTGACTTATTTGCAGTGCCTTTTCGATCGCAGGCTCGAGCGATGAGAC